GCCTAGTCACCCTGGGCAAGTCACTTAACCTCAGTCTGCCTCGGTTTCTTCATCTGTAAAATGGGAATCAAAGCAGCCCCCACATCCCAGGGCTGTTGTGAGGCTCAAATGAGATCATATTTGTAAAGTGCTTAGCCCAGGGCTTGGCATACAGTAGGTGCTTGATAAATACTTGGTCTTTTCCCTTCTCCTTCCCTCCTGAAGGTGTCCAACTCCAGCAGGGTCAGAATTCCAACCCTCCACTCCAACCATGAAGGCTGCCGCTAGAGGGCGCAGGCGTCCCAGAGAATGTGTCCAGCCTGGCAGGGCAGGGACTTCAGGCTGCCCTGGAGGGCATAGAACCCTGGCGGGCGGTGACCCAGCGGCCCAGGGGACACCATGCTCATGCTTCCATACCCTGTTCAAATGGTGCAAAGGTTTCTCTCTGCCCTTGCCTGGTCCCTGGGAGTCCAGTCTGAGGGAGCAGGGTCACTGCCCACCACACGGGATGCTGGGAGGTAGCTCTGGCCCTGGACGAACTGTCAGTGACAACCGTGACCTAGCCTGCCTGATCTGGCCACTTCCCATGGGTTTGGGACAAGCCACTCTCCAGCTTACACCTTCACTGTCACTGCTCTCCTCTTGCACAGGTGGGCAAAATGACGACTTTTGGAAGCTGAATTAGACTGCCACCTCATTGCTCTTTTTATGAGCAAGATGGCTTGGACCTGGGATTTCACTGGCAGAGGAAACTCCCCTTACTAATGCAGGTTGGTCCCTTCTCTAAGATGCACAGTCTTAGAGACTTAGAGATGCAGTCAGTCCATAGATGAGGATCTCTGCGGGCAGCATTGACTTTGCTTTGAAATTAGTGTCATCTGTGTTTTATTGAATTTTACTTATGCTGTTGAATATTTCCCAGTTGCATTTTAACCTGGTTCAATCTTGTTGTGGGCCATGGTGGCCAAGCTATTTGACATCTCTGACCTGGAGAACTGAGAGTTTATGTGACTTGTCCAGGATCACAGTCGGGATTGCTTAGAGATGAGACTCTGAACCCAGGTCTTCAAGGCTTTGCAGTCAGTTCTCTAGCGGCTAAGAAAGACATCCTGCTTCTATCACCAGCAGCAGCAGCTGCAGTGGTAGTGGTAATATAATTAGTCAAATTCAATTCGCAAAGCACTTATTAGGCACCTATTACATGCTAGTCACCCAGTTTGTAGGAGATAAGGAAACAGAAACAAAAGTGAGATACCTTGAGCTTATATCCCACTTGAGTGAGATCAAAGCTCAACACAAAAGTGCTCCAGGTAACTCGGGGAAGGCCAGAGGGATCCTAAGGTGGTTAGGGATGGGGACCTGGAAAGGTCCCTGAGCTGAGCCTGGAAGGAAGTTTGGGATTATGAATTCTGAGGAGGGAAGGCATTCCAGGCATGAGCAACAGATTAGGTGGGGAGATGGAATGTCTTAGAAAAGCCTGGCATTGTGGAGCTTACTCTGTAAGGAACAAGTGTCTTCTCTCTGTGTCTCAGTTTCCTCCTCTGTGAAGTGGGGAGAATACTCCATTCCCCTCCCCCCCCAAGACCTGGAGGGCCCTGGCCTGACACAGCAAACTGCCCAAGAGAGCCCCTGAGTCGCCTGTGTTTGCCCTCTGACTGAGGTCATCTCAGGAGTGTTTATCTGAGGCCTTCAGGCTCAGATTCTGCCAGGAACCCCCAGCATTTGTTTCATTTCTCCGGGTTTTCAGTCTCTTGTTTACTGGAGAGAAAAAAGAAGGGGGGGGGGGGAGAGACTGAGACAGGAAGCAGCCCCAGGAGAAGTGTCTGGAACTCAGGAAGCAGTGAATTTACCGTTTCCTGGTTCATTGTATTTGAAATAAAAGAATTGTTTTGTGTTCTGTGTTTTTAAAATGCTCTTTCTCCCCAAGGTCCCCCTCCTACCCTTACCCCCCCCCCACCTCCAGCCCTCAGACTCCCAAGTTAAGATAAGCAAATAAGAAAACATCTCTAGAACTCTCAAGAGAAAACAGGCTGGGTTTGGTACAGGGTGGAAGGAGACCCCTTGGCCTCCACGGGATGAGGTTTTCAGGGCCTACCTCCCAGAGAGGCCAAAGAATTCCTGGGGGTCTTGGGGGCACCTTTACACAAAAGGCTGTGGTGAATGGGCTTTGCTTCTCATTCCCTGTGTTACTGTGTCTCCTTTTCTATAAAAAGAGGGGGCTCTCCAAGGCCCCTCCCAGGCTGGAAGCACCCCTCCATCGTGCCTAATTAGAACACCTCCAGTTAGGTCAGAGTAGTTTATAAACTGACCCACAGTGGGGGTTCTTAGCACTCTATTAGCCACCGAACTAACCAGGGCTGCTGGGGAATGGCCATCACTTTCATGAGGGATGCAGTACAAGGATTATTATTGCCACTTCTCAGATGAGGAAACTGAGAGCTCCTGGAAGGTGGGGCCTGCAGAGTGAGAAGGTGGGGGATTTCCCACTTAGGCCACTAATGCCCTCCAGGGTGCTAAGCACTTTGTTTTCAGTTTATGGGTCTGTTTCAATTGGGTTCTAAGAATCAACCTTCCCAGTACAAGTCAGGGGAGGCTCCCCTCTCCCCAATAGCTTGATTGTCCTCCTCTCTGCAGAATAGAAACTCCTTGAGGGCAGGGATTATTTAATTTTTATCTTCCCTTCTCTAGCTCTGCGTCAGCCTGGCCTTCATAACTGCTGGTGTTCACCTGTGGGGGGGGGGGGGGGAGGCCAAAAGGGTCACAAACCTAACCAGGAATCATTTCTTCGGTGCTATAGCCAACAAAAACCTCATGCCAACTTGGGCTTCGCTGAGAGAGACTGGTCTGGGCGTAGAGAGGTGGCCCTCCAACTCTCCTCTAACTTGTTCGGACCCCACCAAGAGGAGGAGGCTCAGATGAGAGCCCCATGAATGTGTCCAGAGAAGGCCAACCAAGACCGGGAAGGGTCATGAGTCCAGGTTACAGAGGTGAAGTTGAAGGAGCTTAGTCTAGAGAGGAGAAGGTTGGGGGCTGTGGAGGGGCTGAGAAGGGATAAACTAACAACAGCCTTGGAGTATTGGAAATTCCCTGTTCCTGGGAAGGGGGATTGGGTTTCTTTGGCTTTAATTAGTTAATTACTAAACACTAATTAAGGGTTTAGGAGCCAGGCATTCACTGGGCCAGGCACCGAAACAAAAACGAGAGTGTTTCACTTGTTACTTTCTACTGGAGGGAAACAAAGTTTTCACAGGTAAAACACTAAAGGCTGATTTTGTTTGAGCACACCTGTGACTTCCGGGCTGTGAGGAGCCCCAGCGAGAGTGAATGAAGGATGCGCCAGAAGCCAGACCTGAACCTGGTTCTTGCAGACGCCAAGATCTGCTCTCCAGTCCCTAAGCTAGGTTTCCTCCCTGCGCCTTCTCCGAAAACGAATACAGAACACCAGAATACATACAAGGTGATGGATTCTCTGCGGGAGTTGGCAAAGGGAGTCTGAAGGAGGGGGCATTTGAAGGGCGTCAAGGGGTCTCATTCCCATTTTCATTCCCAGCTGTATTGATCAGTTGTCACGGTTGAGGATTCCACCCCACTCCCTACATCTGTTCCCTTTTCTTCTCCCAGGGGGGCCTCCACCCTCTTCGGATGCCTCACGTCTGGCCTAGCAAATAGCTGGTCTGCCGACCTCGGGTCTCACTCCTTCTCTAGGCCATCCCCTGCAGCGCAGCCTCCACACAGCTGCCAAAGAAATTTGTCTAAAGCACAGTTCTGATCATGTCACGGCCCGATTCAATATTTGGGGAGCAAATACAGATTCCCTTGGCGGGCATTTCAACCTCTTCACAACCTGGCTGCCTCCCACCTTTGCAGCGCGCCAAACCTCCCCCCCCCCCCGGCCCCCCGGGCCCGCGCCGCACACCTCCTTACACAAGATTCCTCTCCCCACATTCCAAGATCCAGCCACTGCCCTGCTTGCAATCCCCAGGCAGCCTATCTCCTGCTTTACCTCCACCTCGGAGAAGGTCGAGCTTTCTTCAAAGCTCGTATCTGCCACCTCTGAGGGGGCCTCTCTCCTGACCTCCCACCCCCACGCCTCTGCCCAGCCCCCCACCAGAAATTACTCTGCGTGCATTTTGCGTCTTTTTTCTAGGCACCAGTAGTTCCCCCAATAGAACGAAAGCTCCTTGAGGGCAGGGGCCGTTTTGTTTTGTCTTTGCGTCCCCCAGCTCCCAGCCAGGTGCGTGGCATATGTAGGCAAGGAATCCTTGTCGCTTGTACATGCACATGCGAGTGCGTGCGTGTGTGTGTGTTTGCGGGGGTTGAGGGGACGCGCTTCCTACTCCCCCAGTCCGGCCCGGCGAGGCTGGACCTCGGGATCAGAGGCTGCAGCGGCGGCGGCGGCGGCGGCGGCGGCGGCGGCAGCTCGACGTCCCCGCTGCCTCCACCTCCTTCTCTTCCTCCTCCCCCTCGCTCTCCGCCAGCCCCGCCTCGTCCCTCCCTCCTTCCCTCCCTCTTCCCTCCGTCAGCCCCCGGGCCCCGCCCGCCGGCCTGCCACCACCGCCGGCCAATCAGGGAGCGCCCGCCCAGCGATGAGCTCAGCCCTCCCGCTTCCCATTGGCCGGCTATATTAAGAAAGTGGCCGAGCCCTTTAAATAGCGGGCGCCGGGGCGCAGGCTGCAGCAGCAGCAGCAGCAGCAGCGGCAGCCGGGACAGACGAGGGAGGAGGCTAGCGGGCGGCCGGAGGGAGGGAGAGAAAGCCGGAGGCAGGGCCACCCCCGAGAGCACCCGCACCCCGCAACCGGCCCGAGAGGAGCCCCCAAGGCGTGGGGGCGGCCGCGGAGGAGAGAGGAAGAGGCCAGCAGCAGCAGCACCGGCCCGGCCCAGGCCCCCGGTGGCCACGGTGCGCTCCCCGAAGGCCGGCCAAACAGCCGCGCCCGGCTCTGCACAGGCGGCGGCGGCGTCTGCGCCGTCGGGGCCCGGGGGCTCCTCGTCCTCGGCCGCGTCCCCCCAGGTGTCCCCGCGGCCGCCGCCGCCGCCGCCGGCCGGCCTCGCCATGGCGGCCATCCGCAAGAAGCTGGTGGTGGTGGGCGACGGCGCGTGCGGCAAGACGTGCCTGCTGATCGTGTTCAGCAAGGACGAGTTCCCGGAGGTGTACGTGCCCACGGTGTTCGAGAACTACGTGGCCGACATCGAGGTGGACGGCAAGCAGGTGGAGCTGGCGCTCTGGGACACGGCCGGCCAGGAGGACTACGACCGGCTGCGGCCGCTCTCCTACCCGGACACGGACGTGATCCTCATGTGCTTCTCGGTGGACAGCCCGGACTCGCTGGAGAACATCCCCGAGAAGTGGGTGCCCGAGGTGAAGCACTTCTGCCCCAACGTGCCCATCATCCTGGTGGCCAACAAGAAGGACCTCCGCAACGACGAGCACGTGCGCAACGAGCTGGCGCGCATGAAGCAGGAGCCGGTGCGCACCGAGGACGGCCGCGCCATGGCCGTGCGCATCCAGGCCTACGACTACCTCGAGTGCTCGGCCAAGACCAAGGAGGGCGTGCGCGAGGTCTTCGAGACGGCCACTCGCGCCGCGCTGCAGAAGCGCTACGGCTCGCAGACGGGCTGCGTCAACTGCTGCAAGGTGCTCTGAGCCCCGACGGCGCGGCCGGACAAAGGCCCGGGGGCTGGCTGTCGGCGCGTTGGCGCTGCCGCCGCCGCCGCCGCCGGAGGCTGGGCGGGCTCCTGGGACCTAGCGCCGCCCTGGAGAGACTGGGGGGTGGGGGCAGGGGCGCCCGGGCCCCGATCGTGGACGGAGAAAGCCTCCCCTCCGTCCCCGCCGCTCTCTGCCCTGAGCTCGGGGCGGCGGTGAGTGGGCACCGCCCCCGCCCGGCTGCTGAGCTCGGCGTTCCTCCCTCCTTTCTTCCCAAGCTCTCCGCCCGCCCCCCTCGATGTTGGGCCTGGCTGTTCCTTGGGGGTGTGTCTCAAATGCGGGTGGGGGGATGGGGCGGGGGTGGGCACTGTTACATAGTGATAAATATAATTTTATTTTTTTTGGCAGTAGGATCTGTGAAAGGCCTGCTCTTATTTAAGGGGGAGGGGAGGGAAAGGGCGGGGAAGCAGCAGTTTGGGACCTCCCCTGGTCGTGCTGCCCGTGCCCGGTGGCGGGCTGGGACTGACTTACAGCCCAGGAAGATTGTGGCCCGGCCCGGGGCTCCCGGACGCCAGGGGCGGGGCGGGGTGGGGGGAGGAAGCTCATCGAAGTGAACCTGGTGCCTGTCCCGCCTAAGCCCCCCCCTCCCCAAAACGTGTTCTGGCTCCGAGGGCTTCGTGTAAATTGGAGGGACAAGTCTGGGTTGTGTTATTTTTTTTTTCCCCAAGATTCAAGCCGAGCCACCGTTGCACAAAGGCCAGAGCTGTGGCCCGGGCCATCCGCCTGCCCGCTCCAGGGTGTTGTCACCTCGTCTACGGTTTGGTTTTTTTTAAAGGATGCCACTTTAAAAAATCCAGGAGAAGAAACCACTGTAATATTGTTTTTGACTTGAGAAATGCCAGGCAGCACTGATTTCGAGGGGGGAGGGGGAGGGGTTGCCTTTGTGCCCAGCGGGCCTGTTTTGATAAAGGGCAGTGAACAGTTTGGGGTCTATTTAAACAATTTCGCCAGGCAGTCTGGGAGACTGGCCTTCGGGACTGTGCAGGCGTCTCTGTCTAGAGATTGAGCTGCTCTCTTTTGTGGTCCTTGCATCCCCCCCTCCCTTCCCCCCACCCCCCCCCAGCGGTACTTTGACCAGTGTCTGGGTTTTTATTTTTATTTTTTAAATAAACTGACCGTTGACAAAGTGATCATCACTTCCATAAAGGTGTTTACATGATATGCTCTGAAGCTTGTGCACAAAGGTTTTTTTGTCAAACATTAAAAGATTTCAGCGATTTCACAAGGTGTCTGGTGGTTTACTAGCCCACAGAAATGTCCCAGAGGATTGGGGGCAAGGGACTCCGGGGTGAAGGTGAGGCTTAGCTTTCTTAGCTGGAAGGGCCTCTGAGCTAGGTAGGCTAGGCCAGAAAGGATCTCAGAGGGGTCTCCTCCAGCCCTCTTCGGATCAGGAAACTGAGAAAGGAGTGGGTCAGTCATAGGCCTGTATTAAGGGCCCACTCCGCCAGGTATTGTTGCCAAATTCTAGGGGAGGAAAAGACAGTCCCCTCTCTCCAGGAGCTCGTGGCTTAATGCTCTTGCAAACAAGTATCTGTCCAAACAAGGTGAAGGGGAAATCCTTGCTCCTAGAATTAAGGGGGGTCAGGAAAGGCTTCCTGGAGAAGGTGACTAGGTCTTAAGAGAAGCCAGGAGGGGAAAGCATTGGAGGCCTGGGGGGTGACTAGGCAGGAGCATCTCTGTCCAGCGGCAGGGTCTGAGTAATTGTAACCACGGGCAATAAGAGCACAGCCAGGGTTTGAAGGGAGATCTAACTTCCACATCTGGGCCTTGTGCTTGGCTGCTTACCTGGCAGGGTGGGGTTCCTGCTAAGAACATTGTATTTAATTAGTTCTAATTGGTCTTGTTCCAGGAGGGGAGAAAACAGGAGGTGATGGGAGGGCCCTGGGAGACCTTTGCCCTGGTCAGTTCTAAGCCTTGGCAAGTTGGAGCACATCCACATAAGAGGGTAATGCTAGGATGGAGCTGGGAGGGTTCATGCCATAGAGGGTTAAAGGAAGCTGGGCCTGGAGGAGACCTGGGCTCAGGTGAGTAACCTTCAGGTATTCATTCAAGCTGGCATATTACTCTGCTTAGCTTCTTGGGCAGGGCCAAGGAGCAGCTTGGTTGGGAGTTTGCTATCATTCCAGCAGAGGATTTGGGGGGGGGGGGCAGGGGCAGCTAGCTGTCAGGGATGTAGTAGAGGTTTCTAGGAGGCTAGAGGGCCCAGGGTCTCACCCCAGATTCTGAGCACTGTGTGGTGGGGTTGTAACCCAAATGATTAACTCCCAGAGCTTTGGCCCAGAGAGCTCTGGTGACAAGAGGCCCCGCTCTCCATCAGCTGCTCCCAATTGTGATGACAATTACACAGTCTTGTGACCCCCTTAAGTCAGCGTGCATTTATTAAGCACCGAGTGCCAGCCACTGCTGGTCTAAGTGATGAGGAAGCAAAGAAAGCCAACCCCCCCCCCCCTCCGCAATGGTCCCCACCTTCAGGGAGCTCATATTCTAATAGGGACAGCATGCAAACAATGTCCAGACAAGATGTGGGGATGGGAGACAGTAAACGGTGTGTGGGTGGCTTCTTGCAGAAGGAAGGATTTGAGCTGAAATTGGGAGGAAGGGAGCTGGGGAAGCCAGGAGGAGGGAGAGTATTCCAGGCATATTTGGTGCAGAAGTAGTAGGAAGTCCCCAGAGCTGATTTCAGTGAAGGGTGGGACTAGATCCCACCTGAACTTAAGTGGGATGATCATTTTGGCAGTTGACTGAAGGACAGAGTGGCCTGGGGAGATCGCTGTCTTGAGAAAAGGAAACCACCCAGCAGCCTCTGCCAGTGCTGGCGGTATCAGAGGAGAGCAGGGGGTGTATAGGAGAGATGTGATGAGCCTTGGCAACATGGGGGAAATGTGGGGGGGGGGTGAAAGTGAGGGAGTGAGGATGACACTAGCCTGGGAGCCTGGAAGGATGGTGGTGGCCTCTACAGTAATAGGGATGTTGGAAGGAGGGGAAGGTTGGCGGCAGGGGGTGAGATAATGAATTCCATTTTGGACATATTGAGTTTGTCGTTTACAGGACACCTCATTGTCCAATAATCCTCTGGAGGTGTGAGAGTGGAAGTCAGAAGAGATGTTGGGGCTAGATAAATCTGAATCATCTGCATTGAGATGATCATTGAATCCATGAGAGCTGCTGAGGTCACCGGGTGAAATAGAGGGAGAAGAGAAGGCTCAGGACAGGGTTGGGGACCCCCACGATTAGTGTGCGCAGCCTGGATGGAGGTCCAGCAAAGGAGCCTGAGAAGGACTTAGCAAACGGGTAGAAAGAGAGCCAGGAGAGATGCCACGAAAACTCCAAGTGGCGAGGACGGCCGTCAATGGCTGCCCATGGCTGTGGAGAAATGAAGTTTGGGTGAGAATGGAGAAAAGTCATTGGATTTGGCAATGAAGAGGTCACTGACAAGTTTTGAGGGAGTCATTTCAGGGGAAGGAATGATGAGGTTGGAGGCCAGATGGGGAGGGGGTAAGAGGAGAGTGAGAGGAGAGGAAGTAGGGGCATCTCTCAAGAAATTTAGCCACAAAAGGGAGGAGAGATGTATGACAATTGCTAGTTGGATAGATGAATCAAGTGAGAGATTTTTGAGGCTTGGGCAGACATGGGCATGTGCATTGGCAGTAGAGATGCAGCCAAGAGACAGGTGAGGTTGAAGGTCAGTGATGAGTGGGCATGATAGGGGAGTCAGGATGGCCTGGGATGGGCTGTGCAGGTAGAAGGGTTAGCCTTGGTGGGGAGAAGGGCCACCTTTTCATGTGAGATCGTGAAGGAAAGAGAGAGGGCAGAAGGCATTGAATGATGTGGGAGGAAGAAGGAAGGGAAAAGATGAAACCTCCAAGAATGGTCTCTATTTTTTCAGTGAAATATGAGACCAGGTTCTCAGCTGAGAGGGTAGAGGAAAGAGGTGGCTGGACAAACCGTAGATAGGAATTAGGGGTCAAGGAACTAGAGAGAAAAGGAAAGGCTAGGGTTGAACTGGTTTATCAGGGTGTCAAGATGGGGATGAGAGGAAGACTGGAGCCAGTGCAGGGGTGATACCTGGGAAAGAATGGGGGGGGGAGGGGGGATTTGTGAAGTAATGTGGAACCTCCCAAAAAGCTATTGTGTCTCCACTTTGACCCATCGATACCACTACAGATCTCTTCCCCAAAAAGATCAAAGACAGAGGAAAAGGACCCATGTGTACAAAAATATTTCTAGCAGTTCTTTCTGTTATGGCCGAGAAACGGAAACTAAGGAAGTACCGCCCTCTTGGAGGGCAGCTGAAAAGCTGATGATCTGTGAATGGGATGAAATCCTATATGGTAAGAAATGACGAAGGGGAAGGTTTCAGAGAAACCTGGAAAGACTCTGAACTGATGCAGTGGGAAATGAATGTGATTCAGAGCAATTTATACAAGGAAAACAATGTTTTAAAGACAAACACCTTTTAATTACTTGAGTTAAGAACTCTGATCAACATGATAACAAAACAAGATTCCAGAAGACTCCAGATGAAACACGCTCCCACCTCGGGCAGAGATGATGAGGTGAGGGAACGGTCTGAGCCCGGGGAGCCATGGAAGCTGTCATCAGGAGGGAGCCCAAAGATGGAGGGAGAGAGTAAGGAAGGAAAAGTGTTCTTTCAAATAGGTTCATTTTGATGAGGTTTTTCAATACTGTTAGGTACTTTTTAAAATGTAGGCCTAAATTGTCAGTTACACAAAATTCTTGGCATGGCTCCTGGGGATATTAATGAGTGTCTGATACCCCCCTCCCTCCCATATAACCGCCTTGAAAGTAGAGGGCAGCAGATCAGAGATCACAGATCTGGAGTTGAAAGAGGTCTTGGAACCTAAGTGCCTCATTTTACATAAAGGGAAACTGAGACACAGGAACTTGTCCCTCTGCTTCCTCCTGCTCTCTCCTCTTGGGGGCTCCTCAACTCTATATGGATCCATGTAAATGGATTACAGAG